CAGCACTAGAGTCAACAACTACCTCGATAGGCTCGACTGCGTCCACCTGGGACACACCTGACGGGGCAGGACCCTGAGGGGGGAGGGGGTCTACCGGGGGAGGACTTTGCGCAAGGAAGAGCGGCGGCGGGGGGAGGGGCGCAGTGCGGTAGGGGAAGAGACGGTAGAAAGGCACCGACTCGTCAAAGGTGACGTCCTGGGAGGACAGAACACGGCGCGAGGTGGGGTGGTAAAACTGCCAACCAGGCGCGTCAGGGGTAAAGCCAAAGAAGAAGCAGGGAACAGCACGGGGGGACAGCTTGTCCGCAGACAAGTCGCGAACAAACGCTCGAGATCCCCAGACCCGAAACGCAGACGCATCGCCAACCTTCCCCGTCCACCGCAAGGTGGGGGAGGTCTCCTGCAAGGAGACCCGGGGCTGAAGGTTGAGCTGATGCGCTGCGTACTGAACCGCAAACGGCCACAGAAAATGGGGGGCAGCGGCATGGATCATGGACGTACGAGCGACGTCCATGACCATGCCAATGCGGCGCTCAGCAATCCCATTTTCGCTGTGGTGAGGTCGGAAGCGTGAAGGTCTGGCGGATGCCCTCTGCACGACAGAAGGCTCTTAGACGGGCAGAGGAAAACTCCCCGCCTCTGTCAGAGTGCAGACGCAGAACAGGAAAGTCCGAGCCGAAACTCTCTCTGAGCTGGAGACGAGCTGCGCGGATCCAGTCGATCAACACCTCATTGACGTCACCCTTGCTGCGCAAGAGGAACACCGTGGTGTAACGCGAGTAGTCGTCAACCACCAACATGAAGTAACGCTCGTGACCCTGGCCACAGACGCGGGCGGGGCCCCACACGTATGTGTGAAGAGTCTGCAGCGGAGCCTCTGTCGGAGGAAACTTGGAGGACTGAGGGGCGGCGCGCTGCCGCCCCTCGACGCAGGGGACGCAAGTAGGGGCAGGCCCCGGAGGTAGGGGAGATAGGGATCGGGGGAGACCAGAGACAAGGACACGGGAGGCCATGCCTCGGAGACGAGGCAGGGAGGGGTGACCAAGGCGGTGGTGCCAAAGGAGAGTCTTGTGGGATAGGAGACGATACGAGCAGGGAGCAGACTCAGGACCAGACCTGGACGCTGCAGCAAACACCTGACTCGACGCAGCTACCTTACCAGACTCAGCAACCGGAGGAGACTCAGTAGTCAGTGTGTACAGGCTCGATCCCGGCTGACGGGTAAACGTGGCCAAGTGTCGGCCCGTCCGAGCACACGTGCAGTGGGTCACCCGCTGACTCGCAGGAGTGAACTGGTCAACCCCCCTATCCTGTAGGTCAGCTCCACTCACCAAGTTCGTAGAGAACGAGGGGAGGTAGAGACCTGACAGGGTGCCCGAGGGGGCTGCCGAGCACGGTAAGACAGTGGAGAAGCTAGCAAGGACAGGACCCCTAGAGGGGTCCGCCAGGGAGACCGCAACTGGCCGACTAAGCTGCGTAAGCGTGGTGCAGTCTCAAAAGAAGGAGCGGGAAGCACCCGAGTCAAGGGTGAAGGTGTGTAAGGCCTGAGCCGACGTGGTACCTGAGAGAGCAGACTCACCAGCATCTGGGGCAGCAGACGCACTAGCACCTAGAGCAACCGCCTCACCAGCACCTAGAGCAGCAGCCTCAATGCCCGGTTCAGGCGGAACACACAGGTAACAGTCACCCTCATCACTAGTAGACACAACATACATGGCAGCAAGAATAGCATCATAATCAAGATCAAAGATAGCAACCCCCGCCCTAGACAGCTCTTCCCAGCGAGGGATCTCAGTGGCGTCAGGGAACTGGTGACGCCACGCATCCGTCAGGCGGCCGGAGCAGCGCTGGGTGGAGTGCGGGCCCCCGCACTGCTCACCAGCGCGGTCGCCGGTACGGAGGACGTAGGTGCAGGGACCAGTACCCCCACCTCGCTGATGCCCCGCGTACCACTCACGAAGCTGCTGGGGGGACGGGGTCTCACGACTGCGCTGCTGCTGCTGGCGCGGACCACCACCGGAACCTCTCCTCTGCGCAGTGCCGCGACCAGCTCCACCGCTGCCGCCGCCGCCTCCCCCACCTCCGCCACCTCCGCCACCTCCGCTCCCTCCGCCACCGCCTCCGCCTCCTCCGCCTCCACTGCTGCCACCAACACCTCCACCCCCGCCACCACTCCCACCACCACCCCCACCCCCTCCACTGCCTCCACTGTCAGAGGTCCACTGGTGAACCCCGATTGATCCTATGGAAGGGTTACAGGCACGTTGGCCTGGGGGGTTATGGGCGCACTTACCCGCTACACAAACAAGCCCTTTTATCCCAATGGTCTAGTGGTTGGGATTCTCACATGGTCTCAGAGTGAAGGTCTCGGGTTCGAATCCCGGTGTGTGCACTTCGGGCATCCCAGTGCGGGGGGGTGTCAGAGGTCCACTGTTGATCCCCGATTGATCCTATGGAAGGGTTACAGGCATGTTGGCCTTGGGGGTTATGGGCGCACTTACCCGCTACACAAACAAGCCCTTTTATCCCAATGGTCTAGTGGTTGGGATTCTGACATCCACCACCACCTCCACCGCCCCCGCCAGCCCCTCCAGCGCCCTTGCCCCCCTTGCCCTTTCCGGTGCGGCGTCTCCCGCTAGGGGCAGACGCAGCGCCGACCGACTCGAAGCCAACGAGGTCGGCCGCAGCAGCAGAAGCAACAGAGGGCAAGAGGGGGGAGGGGGAACACCCCTCAAAGACGGGGGTGCAAGGGTCACCACAAGAGGCTCCTACAGCGACTCTGCTCTTCTATACTGCTAGGAGGCGCTCCTCGAGGAGGTCAACGGTGAGTTTGGTGGGGCAAACAGAGAGGAAGTGGTCCCTGACTAAGCGAAGGGAGTCAGGGAGCCGGGTGACTATGTAGTAGAGGGTGATGTACATGGGGGGGTGGGTTCTTGGCACAGAACTCAGCAGGAAGCGCAGCGCGGTAGCGAGTGTCACTAGTGCGAAGGTGCGTAATGAGGTCAGCGACTATGGGAAAGGCAGCAAGGTCAGGGAACAGGTACGGCAGCATGAGGCGGCTAAGCGCAGAAGTGGCAGGGGAAGAGTAGCGTGCAACTACAGCGTCGTACAAGGTCTTAGCACTCTCGTACTGGCTAAAGTGCGCACGCTCAGTGGTCAGTAAGTGGCGACGCAAAGCAAGACGGGCAGCAGCATCGCGTGTGGCCCACTATGAGCGAACAGTGCTGTCAGCATCAGTAGGCGGGGCAGGAGAGGCACCAGAGGTGAGATCGAACAGAGAGAGTCCGTCTGCCCTATCGCACTGTAGGAACAGCCGGAGGTCATCGACCCAGACCTCAAAGTCAACAGCACGACCCTCAGCATCAAAGGTAAGGATACTGGGGGTAGCCATGTCTACAGTGGTCTAGCAGGGAGTGATCCCACCAGTACGAGTAAGTAGGGCCGGGGCGCGCCGGTAGAAACAGTAGTAGCTCGACGGTAGGGCGGCTTCGCGGCTCGGCTGCTGGGCGGCTCGGCGGATCGGCTGCTGGGCGGCTCGGCGGCTCGGCTGCTGGGCGACTCGGCGGCTCGGCTGTTGGGCGGTTCGGCTGCTGGGCGGCTCGGCTGCTGGGCGGCTCGGCTGCTGGGCGGCTTGGCGGCTCGGCGGCTTGGTGGCTCGGCTGCTCAGCTGCTGGGCGGCTCAGCGGTGAAGGGGCTGGTAGAGGCGGCGACGGGGCCGGTAGAGGCGGCGATGGGGCCGCGAAGGTCGGCGACGGGGCCGGCAGAGGCGGCGACGGGGCCGCGAAGAGCGACGTCGGGGCCGCTAGGGGCGGCGACGGGGCCGCGAAGGGCGGCGAGGTGGCCGCGAAGGGCGGCGACGAGGCCTCTTGGGGCGGCGACGGGGCCGTTAGGGGCGGCGACGGGGCCGCAGAGGGGCCGCAAGGGGCCTAGAGGGGCGGCGACGAGGCCGCGCAGGGGCCGTAAGGGGCCTAGAGGGGCGGCGATGGGGCCGCTAGGAGCGGCAACGAGGCCGCGAAAGGGGCCGCGAGGGGCCTAGAGGGGCGGCGACGGGGCCTAGAGCGGCGGCGACGGGGCCGCGAAGGGGCCGTGAGGGGCCTAGAGGGGCGGCGACGGGGCCTAGAGGGACGGCTACAGGGCCGCGAAGGGGCCGTGAGGGGCCTAGAGGGGCGGCGACGGGGCCGCAAAGGACGGCGACGGGGCCGCTAAGGGTGGCGCTCGGGGCCGTGGGAGGGGCCGCTAAGGGAGCGCGACTTAAGGGCGGCCTACGGGGCGCGCCTCGGGTAGGAAAAATCGAGTTAGGTGGTGGGCCCTGAGAAGCGTTCCCACGAGGGAACCTGCTCTATACCATGTGAAGAATGAGGAAATGAATGAACTAGCAAGCAGGTGGGTACAAGTAGGAAAACCTAGAAATGTTGTACTCCATATAGTCTACCCCACTAAAGCCTACACAGACTATAGCATATAAGTTTGACACATCGGCAGCAGCCAAAACAACATCGGCAGCAGCAGAGACAACATCGGCAGCAGCAGAAACAACATCGGCACCAATCGCGGGTCCTTCAACTGCACGGGCTCCAATCGACGACGACATTCCACCGACTCCTGCGCAACAATTGAACCCAACACCACGAGAAGTACATCGAAGCGCAAACTTCACCGCAAGCTTCTACTCCAACTCCGACTTGTACCGTCGCTCACCCGGACATCGAGCTGGCGAAGACATCTGGCACGCATGAATGGGACATCCAAGCAACACAGTGTTAAATAACACAATCAGAGCAGGAGTGCTCGACAAGGACTAACTGCTCCTAACCGACGGAAGCGAACTTCGACGAGCTCGTGGAACGTGCTTTACCTGCCCCGAAGCTCGGGGCACACTCACCCCCGACGGACGGAGGACAGACAGACTCAGACTCAGCGACAAGACTAGCAGCGTAGTCTGGACGACAGCTAGCAGCAAAGTCGACGAGCTCAACAACTAGGGCAAACGCAGCAGTGGACTAAAAAGAAGGGTCAGTGACGACAGTAGCAAGGAGACGCGTAACAGTAGGACTGGCAGCACGAAGAGAGTCCGACTCCAGGTCGGCAAGAGCAGGAAGAGAAGACTCAGGAGGAGAAGGCAAAGGGGCACGCAGAGGAGCAGTGGACGGACGTAGAGACATCCAATGCGTGCCAGGGACAGGAGGAGGACGCTGACGCGAACTGCGACCACTAGTGCGAGCAGCACGGACAGGCGACGCAGGGCGAGACCCAGGCTCACGACGCTTAGCAAGACCTCCAGTAGGACCAGTGTAGGGAGACGGAGCAGGCAGTGGGGAGGCCGGCTGTAACTGTAACTGCGACGGGACAGGCTGTGGACACTCTAAGGGAGGAGGACCAGTAGAAGACGGGAGACCAAGAACCTGCTGAAGGAGCGGAACGAAGTACGGGCGAGGCCGCGCGTCGACTCCAGACACAGCAGGGACAGCACCAGCACCCCCAGTAGCAGCACCAGCACCTGTAGCAGCTCCAGCTCCAGTACCTCCAGCAGCACCAGTAGTACCCCCAGCAGGACCGCCTCCAGGACCGACAGCAGTAGCCTCCGCGCCAACACCCGCAGCAGCTCCAGCTCCAGAAGTACCCGCAGGCCCAGCAGCTCCAGTACTCCCACTACGAGCACCTCCGGGACCCGTGGCACCAGCTCCCTTAGTAGCAACAGAACCTCCTGTACCCGCAGCACCTCCAGCTCCAGCAGCTCGCCTCCAGCGCCGGGCAAACCACTCACGCAGCTCCTGTTGAGAGAGTGGCTCCCGGCAAGACGAAGCACCCGGAGAACCGCCAGGCACAGCACCAGCAGCCCAGCTCCCTCAGGCTCCGCACCCCCAGGCTCAGTACCTCCAGGCGTAGCACCCCCAGGCTCAGCACCCCCAGGCTCAGCACCCCCAGGCGTAGCACCCCCAGGCTCAGCACCCCCAGACTCAGCACCCCCAGTAGTAGCACCCCCAGGAGTAGCACCCACACGCTCAGCACCCCCAGAGTCAGCACCCCCAGGCCCAGTATCCTCAGCAGCACCAGAGTCACCAGGAACCTCGACAGGCTCGACTGCGTCTACCTGGGACACACCTGAAGGGGCAGGACCCTGAGGGGGGAGGGGGTCTACCGGGGGGGGACCTGGCACAAGGAAGAGCGGTGGCGGGGGGAGGGACGGAGTGCGGTAGGGGAAGAGGCGGTAGTAGGGGACCGACTCGTCAAACGTGACGTCCTGGGAGGACAGAACACGACGAGAGGTGGGGTGGTAGAACTGCCACCCTGGCGCGTCAGGGGGGAAGCCAAGGAAGACGCAAGGAGCAGCACGAGGGGACAGCTTGTCCGCAGACAAGTCGCGGACAAACGCCCGAGATCCCCAGACACGGAACGCAGACGCATCGCCTACCTTCCCCGTCCACAGCAAAGCTGGGGAGGTCCCGGTCATGGAGACCCTGGGGTGAAGGTTGATCTGATGCGCCGCGTACTGAACCGCAAACGGCCATAGAAAATGGGGGGCAGCCGCATGCATCATGGACGTACGGGTGACGTCCATGACCATGCCAATGCGGCGCTCAGCAATCCCATTTTGGTGTGGAGAGTCCGGAAGCGTAAAGTTCTGGCGAATGCCTCGCGCATGACAGTAGGCTCGCAGAAGGCCAGAGGAGAACTCTCCGCCTCGGTCAGAGTGAAGACGCAGAACAGGAAAGTCCGAGCCGAAGCTCCTCCTGAGCTGGAGACGAGCTGCGCGGATCCAGTCGATCAACACCCCAGTGACATCACCCTTGCAGCGCAAGGGGAAGACTGTGGTGTAACGCGAGTAGTCGTCAACCACCAGTAGGAAGTAGCGCTCGTGACCCTGTCCACGGACGCGGGCCGGGCCCCACACGTCCATGTGAAGCGTCTGCAGCGGGGCGTCTGTCGGGGGAAACTGAAAAGAGTGAGGGGCAGCCCGCAGCCGCCCCTCGACACAGGGGACGCAGGTGGGGCCAGGCCCCGGAGGAAGGGGAGGGAGGGACCGGAGAAGACCAGAGACAAGGACACGGGAGGCCATGCCTCGGAGACGAGGCAGGGAGGGGTGACCAAGGCGGTGGTGCCAGAGGAGAGTCTCGTGAGACAGGAGGGGACACGAGTAGGGGGCAGACTCAGGACCAGACCTGGATGCTGCAGCAAACACCTGACCCGACGCAGCTACCTGACGAGACGCAGGGACAGGAGGAGACTCAGTGGTCAGGGTGTACAGGCTCGACCCCGGCCGACGCGTAAACGTGGCCAGGTGTCGGCCTGTGCGAGCGTCCGAGCAGTGGGTCACCCACTGACTCGCAGGAGTAAAGTGGTGAACCCTCGGATCCTGTAGGTCAGCACCACTCACCAAGTTCGTAGAGAACGAGGGGAGGTAAAGACCAGACAAGGTGCCAGAGGGGGCCGCCGGACACGGGAGGACAGTGGAGAAGTGAGAAAGGACAGGACCCCCAGAGGGGTCTGCCAGGGAGACTGCAACCGGCCGACCAAGCGGCTTGAGTGTGGTGCGGTCTCGAAAGAAGGAGCGAGAAGCCCCTGAGTCAAGTGTGAAGGTGAGGGAGGCCGAAGCCGACGTGGTACCCGCGAGCGCAGACTCACCAGCACCTGAGGACGCAGACGCACTGGCACCTAGAGCAGCAGCCTCACTGGCACCTAGAGCAGCAGCCTCACCAGTACCTAGAGCAGCAGTTTCAATGCCCGGGTCGGGCGGGAAACACCGGTAACAGTCACCCTCATCACTAATAGACACAGCATACATGGCAGAAAGGATAGCATCAAAATCAAGATCATAGATGGCAACTCCCACCCTAGACAGCTCGCCCCACAAGGGATCTCTGTGGCCTCCGGGAACTGGTGACACCACGCGTCCGTCAGGCGGCCAAAGCAGCGCTGGGTGGGGTGCGCACCCCCCCATGCTCACCCGCACGGTCGCCGGTGCGCAGGACGTAGGTGCACGGACCAAAGCCCCCACCCCGCTGGCGTGTAGTGTACCACTCACGGAGCTTCTAAGGGGACAGGGTCTCACGACCGCGCTGCTGCTGCTGGCGTGGACCACCACCGGAGCGACTCCTCTGCGCAGACCCGCGACCAGCTCCACCGCCACCCCCGCCGCCTCCGCCGCCTCCGCCGCCTCCGCTACTACCGCCGCCTCCGCCACCTCCTCCATCGCCACCACCTCCGCCACCTCCGCTCCCACCGCCACCGCCACCGCCGCCTCCGCCTCCACTGCCGCCACCGACACCTCCACCCCCACCTCCACTCCCACCGCCACCCCCACTCCCCCCGCTGCCTCCACCTCCACCTCCACCGCCCCCGCTCGCTCCTCCAGTGCCCCTGCCCCCCTTGCCTTTGCCAGAGCGGCGTCTCCCGCTAAGGGTAGACGCCGCACCGACCGACTCAAGACCAAGGAGGTCGGCCGCAGCAGTAGAGGCAACAGAGGGCAGAAGGGGGGAGGGGGAACACCCCTCAAAGATGGGGGTGCGCAGGTCACCACGAGAGGCCCCTACAGCGACTATGCTCTTCTCGGCCGCTAGGAGGGACTTCTCGAGGAGGTCAAAAGTGAGAGTGGTGGGATAGACTGAGAGGAAGTGGTCCCTGACTACGCGAAGGGAGTCAGGGAGGCAAGTGACTATGTAGTAGAGAGTGATGTACATGGGGGGGGGGTTCTTGGCGCAGAAGTCAGCAGGAAGCGCAGCGTGGTATCGAGTGTCACTAGTGCGGAGGTGCGTAATGAGGTCAGCGACTGTGGGAAAGGCAGCAAGGTCAGGGAAGAGGTACGGTAGCATGAGACGGCTCAGTGCAGCAGTGGCAGGGGAGGAGTAGCGTGCAACTACAGCGCCGTACAAGGTCTGGGCACTCTTGTACTGACTAAAGTGCACACGCTCAGAGGTAGGGAGGTGGCGACGCACAGCAAGACGTGCAGCAGCATTGCGCGTGACCCACTGTGAGCGAACAGTGGCATCAGCATCAGCAGCAGGAGCAGGAGAGGCACCAGAGGTGAGGTAAAAGAGGGAGAGACCGTCTGCCCTATCGCACTGTAAGAACAGCTAAAGGTCATCTACCCAGACGTCAAAGTCAATGGCTCGACCCTCGGCGTCAAAAGCGAGGACACTAAGGGTAGCCATGCCAGCAGTAGACTAGCAGCGCACACAGTAGGGAAAGGGCAGTGCAGTGACAGAGGCGCTGTGCTTACCGGACGGGGCTGCTCGGGTGGCTCGGAGGTAGGGCGGCTCGGCGGCTCGGTGGCTCGGCTGCACGGCGGCTCGGCTGCAGGACGGCTCGGCTGCTGGGCGGCTCGGCTGCAGGGCGGCTCGGCTGCTCGGCTGCTGGGCGGCTCGGCTGTAGGGCGGCTCGGCTGCTCGGCTGTCCGGCTTCTCAGCTGCTGGGCGGCTCGGGTGTGCTGCTGTACGGCGGCGCGGCGGTTGGCTGCTCGGCTAGGTGAGGCGGCACGGGCGGCGCTGCAGCAGATGACGAGGCCGCAGGGAAGGCGGCGGGGCCGCAAGTGAGGGCGGCGGGGACCGCAAGTAAGAGCGGCGAGGACCGCAGGTAAGGGCGGCGGGGACCGCAGGTGAGGGCGGGTGGGCCGCAGGTAGGGCGGCTGGGCCGCAGGTAGGGCGGCTGGGCTGCAAGTAGGACGGCTGGGCTGCAGGTAGGGCAGCGGGGCAGGGCCGTAGGTAGGGCGACGGGGCCGGGTCGAAGGTAGGGCGACGGGGCCGGTACGCAGGTAGGGCGACGGGGCCGGGGCCGGGGCGCAGGTAGGGCGACGGGGCCGGGGCCGGGGCGCAGGTAGGGCGAAGGGGCCGGGGTCGCAAGCAAGGCGACGGGGCCGGGGTCGCAAGCAGGGCGACGGGGCCGGGGCCGGGGCGCAGGTAGGGCGACGGGGCTAGGGCCGGGGCCGTAGGTATGGCGACGGGGCCAGGGTCGCAGGTAGGGCGACGGGGCCGGGGCGCATGTAGGGCGACGGGGCCGAGGCGCAGGTAGGGCGACGGGGTCGCTAGGGCGACGAATCAGGGGCCGCTAAGGCGGCGCGACTTGGCCGCTAGGGCGGCTCGACGAAGTCAGAGAGGGGAGCGCGACTCGGGCAGAGCGCGCTCCGGGCAGGAAAATCTTTCGACTTGGTGGGCCCTAGGCACAGTTCCCACGAGGGAACCTGCTTAATACCATGAGAAAGCTGAAACGAGAATGATGCACTAAGGAATGGAGTGTGGTACAAATATGCAACCCTAGAAATGTGTACCCCATATGGGCTACCCCACTACAGCCTACAGAACATTATCATTTGACATCATCTCTCTTCCCTACGCTCACCAGCAGCAAGGCGTAGCAGAAAGGATGAACAGAACTCTTCAGAACACCATGCGCAAGCTGCTACGAGGCATGCGACTGCCCAACCACCAGTGGCCCGAAGCAATGGACCACGGTGTGATGCTGCACAACTTGCTCTCGTCATCATCGCTCCCGAACAACGCATCACCGCACCTGCTGTGGACAGGAAAACAGGGCAGCACAAAAATGTTAAGAGTTTTCGGCTGCATGGTACAGTATTGACCCCCATCTGAACGAGCCGGCCGATTTTCCCAACGCGCACAGTGGGGACTACACCTGGGCATCGAAAGAAATTCAAACGCGTGGAAGATTTTCGATGTCCACTCCAAGGAACAGTAGCAGCACGTGATGTCATTTTCCACGAACGACTCACCCTTCCGACGTACCTCGCCAACCTGGAAGAAGATCGGGACCCCATAGGTGGCTTCCGTGGTGACCAAGCTTTTGCCTCGGCAGCAGACGAAGCTGACTGGGACAAGCAGAACGTGGATGAAGCCTCGGAGGAAGCTGGACCTCTCCCTTACTGCTCCGTCGACGTCCCAATGGATGACGAAAATCCTCGCGAAAGCGCCAACGCCGAAGTATTTTACCACTTCGCTGACAACGGTTACGTTACACGTGCAGAAGTCAACATAAACAAAGCAGAACGCATAGGGCCCAACTTCATACCTGACCCAGAAGCAGGTGACGAAGCAGCTTATCCCGAGGACACAACACTCCCCCACTACACACAGAGTGGCCTCCATATACTCGGCCTTGTTACCGCGGTCCATGGCACGGAGATTCCTAAGGAGCCTGCCATAGTTCAGCAGGCTCTGGTGGGGTAGCATAAGGAAAAATGGCGCGAAGCCATGGACAAGGAGCTGAAAGCACTGGAAGAACGGAACACCTGGAAAGTCGTTCCCATCGGCATGGCACAAAACAAGACAGTACTTACCGAGAAATGGGTCTTCAGTATGAAGACAAAGGCGGACGGCACCATCGACAAGTTTCAGGCGCGCTGGGTCGTACGCGGCTTCGACCAAGAGCACGGACGCGACTTCACCGAGACATTCGCCCCGGTCAGCTTACACACCTCATTACGAATTCTCCTCGCGATCGCCGCCATGAAGAAGAAGAAACTGCGGCAAATTGACGTCGCCAAGGCATTCCTCTACGCACATGTTGACGCCGAAATCTTCGTCGAACTTCCACACGGCTCCCACGGAGAGCCTAACCAAGTCTGTCAGCTGCGGAAATCCCTATACGGTATTAAACAGGCCCCAAGACTGTGGCAGCAGTATCTACACGCTCGACTCGTCCGCATCATATTCCGACAGCTACCACACGACCTGGGCATGTATCGGCTCACGAAAGGTGACGACTATATCCTACTGATCGTCTACGTGGACGACCTGCTCTACATCGGGTCGACTGACAGCGTCACTACTTGGTTCGAAGGAGAAGTGCAGCAGGACCTCACTCTCACAGTGTCATCTACCGTCACGCAGTATCTCGGCCTCAATATCCAGAAGAAGAAGGCACGATCTACCTCAATGCCGCGAAATATGCCGACACCATCGCCAAACGCTTCGGACTCACCCCGATCACCATCTCCACGCCTTACCGCTACACCGCAGGAAATCACAAGGAAAGTTCCGCTCTGCTCAAGCCCGCAGGCATACGCGACTACCTGAAAAAGCTGGGCTGCCTCCTCTTCGCAGCTGTCATCTGCCGCCCGGATCTATCGTGCTCCGCAAGTCAGCTCGCGACCTACCTCAAGAAACCTGAAGCAGAACACATGGCGGAACTCGGCCGCGCTCTCCACTACCTCGTCAGCACCCCGAACGTCGTCTTAACCTACCACAAGAACGGAACTACAACGCCTAAACTAATCGGCTACGTCGACGCTGATAACGCCGGCGACTCCAACAACAGACGCTCGTGCACCGGCTACATCTATCGCCTCGAACCTATCGGACCCATCTCGTGGCAGTCAAGCAAGCAGGAGTTAATCGCCCTCTCTTCAGCTAAAGCAGAATATATCGCACTCTGCTCAGCCACCAAGGAAGGACTGTACCTTCGCGAACTTTTGGACGAGGCGAAGCTAGCTCAGTTACCCAGCTTCTCCCTGTTCTGCAACAACAAGTCAGAGATTCGCATAGCCAACAAAAATGGATTCGCGAACAGGACGAAGCATATCGCCCTGCGATATTTCTTCGTAAAGGACGAGATCGAGAAGGGGAGACTCGAGCTGTCTTACTGTCCCACGTCCAAGATGGCAGCTGATTACTTGACCAAGAAGCTCGGGAAGCAGAAGTCCGAGTACTGCATGCTGCTGACTCGACAAAGGCTCGTCACCAGCAGCTGTGAAGAAATGAGGAATGGATGAACTAGCAAGCAGGTGGGTACAAGTAGGAAAACCTAAAAATGTTGTACCCCATATTGTCTACCCCACTACAGCCTACATAGACTATAGCATATGAGTTTGACACACCCCCATAGGCAAAGTGGGGGAGAACAAGGGGTCACAAGACCAGTCAAGCAAAGCAAAGCAAGCTCAGGGTGGATCACAATGTCACCACACATTCCGAGCACAAGTTCAAGGCCACAAGGCCAGTTCACATGCAAGATCATATATAAAGGTAAACAAGCAAGTGCAGGTATAGAAAGATCACAGTACAAGCAAGGTCAAGAAGTGAGCAAGTGAGGCCAAGTAGGCACAAGACCTAGCATCGTACAGAAGCGCTGATGATCACAAGGCGGAAGTGCCTTGGTAAAGATATCAGCAGTGTTGGCCTCAGAGGCCACGTAAGCAAGGCGCAGCTGACCACGCTGCTGCAGCTCGCGAGCAAGGAAGTAGCGAAGAGCAATGTGCTTCGTTCTGTGCTCCAGTCTGTGCTCCCGACACAAGGCCGGCATGGCCTTGTTGTCTACGTACAGAACTGGAGGAGAACGAGGCGGCTCTCCTAGGTCACTCAGCAGGTAGGTGAGCCAGCGTAGCTCCTGTGCAGCCATGGCCCCCGCGTAGATCTTAGCCTCACAGCTGGAGCTCAGAACAGAAGACGAGCGGGTAGACCGCCACGAAACAGAGCCGGAGCCAAGGCTGAAGGTGTAACCCTGTGACGACCGCTGCGTAGCCTGGTCGTCAGCCCAAGAAGCGTCAGCGTGACCTGTGAGGACCACTCGACGTCGCCCTCCAAGCACTAGCCCCATGCCCGAAGTACTGCACAAGTAGCGCAACACCCTCTTCGCTGCAGCCATGTGCTCTGGTCAGTGTCTCCCAGGAGCAACATAGCGTGCCAAGATGCTAAGAGGGTATGCTAGGTCAGGTCGTGTGCAGGTCATCAGGTACATGAGGCAGCCAACAAGCTCTGGGTACGGGCCACTCGACTCTACGGACTCATCCGAAGGCAGAGCTGAGAGCGAGTGGCGAGTAGACAGAGGAGTGGCCTGAGGCGAGGAGTACGTGAAGTCGAAG